CCCTCCTCATCCTCCTCCTCCTCCTCCTCCTCCTCCTCCTCCTCCTCATCTTCCTTAGGGGATTGTGGAGTCGACGGATTGGCACGGCTGATCCGTGTCGTGCCGACTTCGGCGCTGCTTCCTGACACTGTGGGGATCGTGCAGCCTCGAGCGATCGGCCGTTTCCGAAACGCTGGACCGTTCAACATCCACAGATTCTGTGTCCCTGGCGGCGTTCGACCTTGAACGCCAACGGCGGGGTCGCCGCCAATCGGCACGACACGAACCTACCGCAAATATCCCATCTGCGAGCCGGCCGTGCGTCGAGGGCACGTTGCAGTGACCCACCCATCTGGGCCGCCGCGCCCATCACCTGACAGGAATGGGACGCGTGGGGCACTGGGGATTCCCGAGCGTTCGGCAGCAGCGTGGCCGGGCCGGGCAGCTCGCACAGCGACGCCCTGCCTTCCATCCGCTGCGTGCACCCCCCGCCCCCCGGCGCTGGCAGCGCGGCGCATCGCGCGGCTCCCCAGGGTGCCCAACTGCGTCGGGCGCCTCTTCGGGGCGCCTGCGGTAGCAACAAAACCCCCCCCCCCGCCCCCCGTGCCGTCGGGTGGAACATCAGGAACGTGTGCAGGGCGTCGTTGAACGGCTCCCCCCCCGTCTTGGGCTGGCTCCACACGAGGCCCTCCGGCCACGCGGCGCCCTCCTGGGAGGAGGCGCGCGCGGGCCCGGACCGCGGGCGCCGGAGCGCCTCGCCCCGAGCCGCGCGCGGGGGAGGCTCGGGAGAGGGCCCGGGAGAGGGCCCTCTCCCGAGGCAGCGGCGGGCCTCCCCGGGCGCATGGAAGCTGCTCCTCGCGGGTCGCGGGGTCCGCCAGGAGGTGCAGGCCATGGTGGCAGGCAGCGGCTGGTGCCGTCGCGCTGCTTGCCACCACGGCATGTGCCCCAGTGGCCCTCGGCCTGTGCGGAGGGCTGCGGGACTGTGACGGCGGGAATCCCGCGCCCTCCACCTTTTCCCTTGCCCGCCAGCCCTCCTTCGAATCGGATGTTGCGCCTCGGCCTGATCCCTGATCCCGTTCTCCCTGGTCCTCCTGGAGACTTCTCGTCTCCACGGGCGCATCCGCCTCGAAAAACAAGGCGGGAGGGACCCCCGGAGGGGCCTGGAGGCCGATTCCGAACGGATGGGGGTGGATTTGAGCCGCCTGCTATCAAGCTGCTGCCAGAAGAGATGCTGACCGATGCCTCTGGTGCGCCGCAAGAGCCACCTGGCCGCACGGGGAGCGGTAGAAGAATAACCGTGGAATGGCCCGATAAACAGCGGACGACCGGAGAAACAGCGGACCTCTTCGAACCCGAGCTGTTCCTTATTACAGCGACTTGGCTGGAGGCCCTGTGACTTCGCGCATGGAGCTGCGCGAAGCGCAAACTGCGCGGCTATCTCCTCGCCCACGCGCTGACCCCACGGGGAAGGACACCTCTCTGGCCCAGGTCGCGAATCGCGACCATCTTCGCGCCCCCGCGGGCAACCTGAAGCCAAGGTCTTGCTCAGACCTCCGCCTGCAGCAAATTCTTAGAGCCTCCCCTCTGGCATCGGACTGGTGCAAATCAAGGTCTCCGAGCCGCCCATGGGAGGACCAACGACGGGGCTATCTTGAGCCGTCTCGGTGGGCCTTTTGACGCAAAACTACGGGACGAACTCTTTGATCAATGCTTCCGCCGTGTGGCTGAGCCGTGTCGCGACGCCGCTGGCGCAATCCAAACGTTCGGGGTCTCCAGGCAAATGAAGGCTGCCGAAGGTGCAGGGACGAGCATCCCATCAGGTCAGCAAACTGTTGCAGGAAGCGCTGCCAAACGTGCATCCGTTTAGGCGACGAGCTGCCGTGCAAAGCCGCCCAAAACGCATTCGTGGATTGGTCTGCGAAGCGCCTGACCCGGAAACTCGCGTCGACACGATGGTTGCGCGCCCGTCCTGCGAGTACGGAGTGGATGACAACGAATCTCGCTCCTCAATACCAACGGGCCTCCCATCCTAAAACTGCCAGACTCCCATCTGTCTCGAGAGCAGAGCGCCCTCGGATCGGACGAGGGACAGGTAGGACGCGGCAGACGGCACATTATCGCACTCCATGGTCCCTCCTCGTCTTCGACCCAGATGTAGAGCGGTGAGGAGCGTTTGCTCAGCGTGTCGCGGCGACGGCCCCAGCGACACGCTACGCCCTGCGAACGAATAGCGTCTCGCTCCGCTCCACGGGCAGGGAGGCTGGGAGAGGCTCGGAACAAGGACGCTCGGACATTGGGAAGTGCTTAGCGTGTCGCGCAAAAGCGTGGTGGGCCAGAACCGGCGGCGCGACACGCTGAGCAAAGGATCCTGATGGCATGTGTTGCAGCAGTGCTCCTGCACGGCTATGTGTGGAGGCTTCCAAGCTCGAGCCAAGCAAATGGTGCTTTAAACCAATCACTGTATGCTTGAGTTGTTCGCAGGTGCCTGAATCGGCCTTCCTCCCGCACTAGTCTAATTCGGGTATACGTTCCACCCCAGTCTAGTTGTTGTATGTGCCTCTCTCTCTATCTCTCTCGTTCCCTCTCCCCAACTCTATCTGTGTTGTTTGTTTGTTTGTTTGCTGTTGTTCTCTCTCTCTCTCTGTTTATACATATGTATGTACGTTTCACCCCCTAAACCTTGCATTGCATGTATGTATGTATCTATATATGTACACACACTAGAACAATAGCGCGCGCTTCGCGCGCGCTTAGGTTCTAGTTGGTCGAGTGCTGACCTCATTGAGATAACAAGGCGGTCATGAATAATGAGGTCAACATTCTCTGTTTCCTCCTGCCTCTTCGTCATTCCTCCTCCTCCGCTCTCATCGACCGTTCGACCAGTGATCTGTCGCCCAGCTTCTTGGGGACCTCTTGACCCCTCCTGGGGGTCTCCTGGGGCGAAGATCTCGGGTTCCCGGTTCACGTTCCCGACAATGGCCTTCGGCCCATCCCGTCACGGTGCCTGGGTTGTGGGTCAGGGCCTCTTGGAAGTTCATTTGGAATTCGTGGGAGGCTTCCCGGGGGCCTCTTGAAGGCAGTTTTGGAGGCCTCTTGGGTGCCGTTTGGGGTGCTCGTGGGACGTCTTTTTGGGCCCCTCGTGGGGTCTCTAGGGGGCCTCTAGGGGGCCTCTTGGAGGCCTCTTGGGCTCTGTTTGGGGCCTCTTGGATGCCTCTCAGGCCAGAAGGCTCGAATTGTTGGTTCGTGTTCCCCCTCTTGGGTCCCTCTTTGGGCACTCTTGGGCCGTCTTTGGACTCTCTTGCGCCGTCGTGGCGCCTCTTTGGGTGCCTCTTGGACCATCTTGAGCTGATTTCTGGACCCTCGTGGGCTGTCCTGGACAGTCGGAAGCAAGAAACAGCGAGAACACGAAAAACCTGCAAAAACCATAGACAAACATCAATTTGCTCGCCTCCTGAGTGCATCGTGAGAGTCCTTTTGAGGGCATCTCTGCTTGTTGAAGCCCTGATGGACTGTCTTCTTCACGCCATGTTGGACCAATTTTGAAACGCCCTTGTGCGGTCTTGGGCGCTCTTAGAGCGCTCTTGGGCCATCTTGGCGCCCTCTTGGACGTCTATCGGCCCGCTTTGACGCTTTTCGGCGCCACCCGCGGGTCCCAAAACGGCCGGAAGACAAGTCAGTGCACTTTGCGGGCCCTGGGGCCCCCTAACCATGCTTGTATGTATATATATATATATATGATATACATATACATATACATATACATATACATGTCGATTCCTCTTCATATATTTGTAATAAGCCCGGTCGGGGGAACCCCCCCCCCCACCCCAAAACCAGACTCCCTGGATTTGGGGCTTTGGGACCCTCTGGACGGGCCTCGCAGGGCGTTTTGCCAAACCTTCCCAGCACACCTAGGGCGATCAGGGCGACCCGGAGACGCCCCAGAGACCCTCAGGACAGCACAAGAGCGCTCCAAGAGTGACCGACGTGACCTCAAGATGGCCCAAGAGGCCTCCAGGACGGCCCCAAAGAGGCCTCCAAGAGCACTCCCAAGAAGGCTCCAGGAGGCAAAAATCATTGATTTTCTGCTAGTTTATAATGAATTGTGGGGTTCTCCTCTTTTCCGCTTCCCGACGCTCCAAGACGGCGGTCTTCTGGGCGTCTGAAGCCGCTTGGGAGGCTCCAAAATCGCCCCACAACCATCCGAAAGGGCTTCCAGGTAGTCCAAAAGAGCCCCTAAACGGCACAACGCGGGTCCAAGATGGCCCTCAGAGAGCCCCATGGCGGCCCAAGATGGCCCCAAGACACCCTCCGAAGCGTTCCAAATCGTGACCCGGTCGTTCAGGGAGACCGCGGTTGGAGGCAGGGTGGCCCGAGGAAGCCTCCAGAGGCCCCCAGAATACGCCCAAGAGGCCTCCAGAAGGCCTTAAGAAAGGCTGAAACAACTTCTGTGAGGCCCCCAGCGGCTCTCCAAGGATGAGCCTCCGCAGAAAAGAGCTGAGGAGGATGGGGAGAATGCGCAGGGTATGGCGAAAATGAAGGAAAAGAAGCATGGAGGAAGGACAAATAATAGCATTATTATAGCGGCGATGCCAGAAAAGGCAACAAGGAGTTATCGCTGTATTGTCGGCTTGACCTTCCTGCTATTCCGCCTGCATGCTAAACTTCAAGGACCAAGGTGCATGGCGCGAAGCGCCACTGCAGTCTTGTATTTTGATGTGTATACATGTATATGTATATGTATATATATATAGATGTGTGTGTATATGTGTGTGTTTGTGTGTGTGCAATTTCTCGTTAGGTCTCTCCCTCTCGCTCTACTTCGCCGCTCGCATTGATTATTTATATGTGTTTGGTTATGTATTTGTTTTCTTTATTTCTCTCTCTCTCTCTCTCTCCCCATATATAAGCTATATATACATTTATATATATGTATACATTCCTCTTCCTATATTTTTGCAAGCCCGGGGGGGGGGGGAACATCCCCCCCCCCCCCAACAAAAAAAAACTGGACCCCCGGGATCTGGGGTTCTCGGGCTCCCTTGGACGTCCTTGGAAAAGTTAGCCCGGCTTTCCGGGTCTCCACAAACGCCTTCCCAGCAGACCCAGAGCGATCCGAAGGGTCATCAGAAAGGTTCAAGGGAGGCCCCAGGCAACACAAGAGCGCTTCAAGAGGGACTCCAATTGTGTCAGGACGGCCCAAAAGACCCCCAAGGCACCCCAAAAAGCTTTCCAAGGGGCCTGCAAAGCACAAAAATCGTCCCATTCCCTTCGTAAAACTTGCAATTTTAGCACATTCGCCTTTCGGACTTCATCAGCTTTCAAGACGGTTTCAAAGCCCCCGAGATCGCCTCCAGACGCCCCAAAAGGCCCCCAAGAAAGCTTCAAGACGGCCGAGCCCGGCCCCACGATCGCCCACGAGAGCCCCAAGACAGCCCATAATGGAACCAAGAGGCCCCCCAGGGGCTCCCAGCATAGACTCGAAAGGGCCATGGGAGGTCCCCGGAAGTGCCCAAGATGGGTCCAAAGGGGGCTCCAGCTGGCCCAAGCACCCCAAGACGGCCCAAGAAGCTCCCAGGACGGCCCATGAAGGCGCCAAAACGGCCCACGAGGGCCCCGAAAACACCCCCACGATGTTTCCGAATGTCAACATAAAGACCCCCAAGGCACCCCAAAAAGCTTTCCAAGGGGCCTGCAAAGCACAAAAAT